ACCATGAAAAATTTCTGTGGTTTTGGTCACCTAGATGTGGCATTTGTGATGCCAGCAGGCAAAAATCAGCAGGAACAAAGATCACTCTGAACTCAGACACTTGTCGGTTGCAAGTCATGACCTTAAGAGTTCATGACTTGCACATCCTCATGTATTATATAGAAGCAATACAGAGGACTTCACAGAAGAATAAATGACCTCTGAGATCCTGTGCATAAGGCCATTCCATTTACAAGGGTGAGGGGGCACCACTCTTTCAGACTTCACCAACCCCATTACTCATAATCTCTCTCTGACTCTACTCCTGAACTCCTTATTTCTGTCCACTAATTGCCTTCTTGACCTCTACAGTAGGATATTTGACCTCCCAAACCTGAATGTGTCTGAAGTTGAGCCTTCATCCTCATCTCCACCAATCCTGCCCACCCATAACCCTTCCCATCTCCATCAGTTTTACCTGTAACCTTCTAGTTTCCAGACCAAAATCCTTTCAGCCATCTGTGGCTTCACTCTGTATCAAAACCCAATTTTATTTCATTTTATTTTTATTCATTTGTTCACATGTGCATACATTGGGCCATTCCTCCCCCATCTCCACCCCCCCTTGCTTCCAAGCAGAACCTGTTCTGCCCTTATCTCTAATTTTGTAGAAGAGAAGACATAAGCAATAATAAGAAAGACAAAGTGGTTTTGCTAGTTGAGATAAGGCTAGCTATACAGAGAGATTCCTGGCATTGCTTCCATGTTTTACTACATCAGGAAATTCCATAGGCCCTGCCTTAAAACATACCCAGATTCTAGTTACATCTCACCACCTCAGCTGCTATTATCCCACTCAAGTCACTAACATCTCTGATCTGGGATTCTGCACCAGTCTAGTGGGATCCTTGTTCATCTATGCCTTTCTGTGGTCTAACAGCAGTCAGGGATCACATTTCAGCCTGCCTACAACTTCTTCACCCAACAGCCTCCAATTAGGCATACCAGAAACCCTCCCTTCCCCCCCACCACATAGCTTTTCCCTAATTCTGTCTTGTCTTTGAGTCTCTGTCAAACACATGTGATAACAACTGATTCCTTTGCTATGGTAAACACTGATGAAATTAAGCCTTTGTTCTCCTTTGGGTGTCCCTTGCTTATTTCTACAAAGTCATTTTTAAAACATGTGATTATGATAGCCACTTGTTTCATGAACCATGCAAAATATTTTTTAACCTTATCTTTCTTCCATAAAGCGCTTATTTTGAAGATTGGAAGGATGTTTTCTTTTGGATCCAAGTAGAAAGAACATTTAGCACAGATAATAAGCAATTATTGGACTAGATGAAATCTTTTGAACTCTGTTGAATAGTTCCCTATTATATGATCACACTTAAAGCATCTCTGGCATCCCCTAAAAATCTGAGCTGTATTAAGCACATTAACTATTTCAGTGTTTCATTCGGTAATCTCTTTTTTTATACACAATTTCCATTTTGTTGCTCTCAAACCTGCTTGCAATTCTCTCCTCAGTAGAGATACAAATCAGCATATTCTATACGTGCTTCAGATGCTCAAAACACTGTTAAATTAGTCATCACATTTATTTTCTCATTGTTAGTAAACACATTTTCTTCATTTCTTTAGAAATAATTACTGCTTCCTAACACAAAATCCCCATTAAATGTGCTTTGGGGTCTTTGCTGCATGTGAGTTTTATCTCCTCACCTATGTGAAACATCCTATGGCTAAAGTATAATCACAACCACATATCCTCTCAGAGTTTACTGTGCTAGCATGCATTGTGAATCTTCAAGAGGCGGTTGATGTGTACATGACACCAAATGATTCCTTTTCCTGCCAAACGTTTTCATGTTAATGGTTCACTTGTTCTAACCTTTACGGATTGTCATGATCTAGCAAACTTTTCCAGGTTCTCTCTGTTAAATAAGATTTATCCTCAGAAGTATTTGGCTGATTTGTTAGACTCCAGGAGTGAGTAGTTAAAGGCAGACAGCCCCTGGTCTTATAAATTAGCAAAATAATCATGTATATGTGTTGATCTGAGAATTTTTTGTGGTCTCCTATACAAATCAATGACTTATCTTCCAAACCTTTAAAAACACACTACATCTTGGTTGAGTGTCAAGGGAAAAGGTCTCTGTGCTCACAATAACTGCTGACATAACTTCTGTATTTCATTTACTTGCTAAATAAGACTTGCTAAATTTAACACACTTTAATTAATGCTGAGTCCCAAATGTCACTGTGCACAAAGAAGTTCAATATTATGGAACTGTTTAATAAAACTTTGATCCAATCCATTTCAGCTATGGCAATCCTATGACTGGTTCTTGCTTATTTGAAATGCACATCATTAGTTTTTTAAGCTGCTTCTCTGGCCTTCCTCTTTTTTCACCTGGATTCTCTTCTCTATTTTCTTTATATCTTTATCTTTTGCCTTGGAAATTGGTACTTTCAGTCAGATGCTCATGCTAAATAAACAGATACGTTTTTGTGTATATTTTCAATGTGCAAAACTAGACTGAGGATCAGTCCATTTACTATTAGATAAAATCCAATCTAGTTTATGGGAAACAATAACTTCTTATCTTCTTATATGCTTTGTAATTTTCAAAGCACTCTCAAATGAATTACTTCATTGGGGTGTAATAATTGAGGTTAGAAACTCAGGCTCAGAGTCTAGACAAACATGGAGTTTGAATCCAGAATCACCAGTTTTTAAAGTCTGACTTGGAGAAATTAATTTATGTTTTCTTTGCTTTAGCTTCCGCATTTTTAAAAGAAAGCTAATAATATCCTTACTCACAGAGTTAGGTAAATGATACAATACAAAAAGGTTTTAGCTCAATATTTGGTGCATACTAGGTGCTCAGGTATTTCACACTAGGTGCTCAAGTGATAGTACAGGAGAATAAGGGCTTAAGCACCTTGAGATAGGAAGCACAGATACAACCGCCATTTTGAAAGTCTGAGATTCATGCTGGTATGTGTTGAGTTACTCAAGACTGGAGAGATAATTAATGGAAGAACAGGACCTGGACCTGGACTCTACGAAGTTTGATTTAACATTCCTTAAACCTCAACATGGTAAGAAGAGTTTTTTTGTGTGTGTATTTTTGATACCTCATATAATCCTCTCCATAACAGTCTGTTGGATTTATGTTGTTTCCAAAAACTTTGACCAAAACCCAGAACAGTGAGTTGCTGATAAGATACAGTTTGATAAATGTTTGAAAGATATTTGTGATGGTTAATTTTGCATGTCAACTTGATTGAGCTAAGGCATGTTCGCATAGGTAGCAAAACATTATCTGGTTGTGTCTGTTAGGGTGTTTCTGGAGCAGATTAGCGTTTGGATCAGCAGACTGAGTAAAGAGCTGCCCTCACTAACATGGGCAGGAGTCATCCAGTCCTCTGAGGACCAGAACAGAGCAAAAAGAAAGAAGGGGAGATTCATTCATATTCTCCCTGTCACTCCACGTCTCTGTCTCTGACTCTTTCTGTCTGTCTCTCATTTTCTCTCTCTCTCTTTCTGTTTCCTTCAATTCCTCTCTTGTTGCAGCTATAATATCCATTTTCTCTTGTCCTCAGACACTGAGCCCTCTCCCTACGTCCCTGATTTCAGGCCTTCAGTCTTGGCTCCCGTGTTCTTAGGTCTTTAGAATTAGACTGAATTTACAACTCGCTCTCTTGGGTTTCCAGCCTGCAGACAGTATATTGAGAGACTCTGGTCTTCAGGATCCTGTGTGTCAATTCCCATTACAAAATTCCTCTTGGATATCTCTATGTGTCTCATTGGTTCTGTTGCTCTGGAGAACTCTGGCTAACACAACATCTCTTTGCCAAAATATTGCAGTCACTGTAGTTGTTGTCCCCTTGTGCTTACTATCTATTCTGAAAACACCTCTTCACTGTGGGGACCTAGGGCTTTCCTACAGATTGCCACTAAAGTACCCTGCATTTCAGCAGCCAAAGAGTGGAAAGGTGTTCTTATACCTGGATTTGTCCGAAACCTAATTCCCTGAATCTTGAAAATGACTTGAATAATGAAATCAGTTGACTCTTATTCACCCCAATCCTGGTGCTTTATCAAAGCCCACCTTTAGTTGCTGCGATTTTGGGGGCTGCCTTTTTTTTTGGCAGAACTGAAGTTTGAGCTCAGGACTTCACGTCTGATAGGCAGTCACTCTACTGCTTGAGGTGTGCTTCTATCCCTTTTTGCTCTGATTATTTTTGGAAAATCCATCTCATTTTTTGCACAGGTTGGCCTAGGTTGACCTCAAATCACAATCCTACCAATCTAAGCCTCCCAAGTAGCTAGGATTACCGGTATGAGCTACTAGTGCCCTGCTTGCTTTATTTTATTATTATTATTTTTTTTTTTTAGGTTAGCATAGGCAGAGTGAGTTTCTTATACCAAGAACTCCAAGTCACTGCGCCAGCTATTGTTACAATGAATGCAAAGCAAACTACCCCCAATCCCCCTAGGATACAACCAATACTTAATTCCTGTTCTCCTATCTGCAGGTCAGCTAAAGTTTGACAGCTGAAGGCTACACTTAGCCTCATACTGATGGTAGGTTCTGGGTCAGCTCCTTGTGTCTCTTATTCCCCTTGAATCAGTCACATGTTCTTATGACAGAAAGAGTTCAACAGGGCAAGTCCAGTCATGCAAGCCCACCTCAAACCTTGGTTGTGGTCTTGTCTGCTAATCTCTCTAAAGCAGAGGGAATGACCGTCACTAACACCAGAGGGTGAAAAGACCCCTCTACCATGGACTTGGTGGGGGCAGTAAAGACTAATTGCTGAGTAATGATCTAATCTATTCCAAAGAGGCTGATGGTGTTAGACGGTTATTTTTTCTTCAACACCCACATTTTCCTAACAGATTAACATTAGGGCGGTGAGTAGCTGCTCTGCGGGAGCAACCTGGTCGAACTGGTGGCCGCGGGGGAGTTGACCTTGAGTGCCCTCAAGAAGCAGGAGAATGGGCTTAGGATGTGGGGTCCTTTGGCATCTGGGTGGCTCCGAGGGAGTGAGGCAGAGATGGGGTCCACAGTAGGCAGGCTGCAGGAGCCTCGGCCAAGTTCACTGGACCGCAGGACCTGGGCCTGGCCAATGGTGAGAACCTGAAGGAGACCACTGCACCAAGCTGCTCAAGGCCATCGAGCAGTTCCAGACAGAGAAAGGCTTCTGGGGGCCCTCCCTGAAGTAGCTCCTGCCCTTCTGCACAGGAGGCCAAGACTGGAGTTCCACCAGTCAGTGTTCAATGAGTTACGTGACAAACTGGTGCGAGGGTCAGCCATCGCCTCAGAAAGGGAAGGATGAGGAAAGGGAGTGGGCAGGGATGCTGTGCAGCCACTTAGTCTTAGAAGCATTTCCTTGGCTGCATACATAGTCCTACCTGTAAAAGTGTCTGAGGACTATGTTTGAGGGCCCCTTCCCTGTGTGTGTCTGCATGTGGAGACCCACTTCCTCAGTTGTGCAAGAAACTGGAAGGTCTCCTGGAGAAGAGCTTTTCTCTGGTCAAGATGCCCTCTCTGCAGCCAGGGGTGATGTGCCCAGAGTTCCTGAGAAGAAGCTGAAGTTGGTGATGGCAGACAAGTAGCTTTACCCAGCTTATGCTATGGAGGTGAAGTGGCACATCTGGCAGGACAACCAGGCACTCTTTGGTGATGAGGTCTCCTCACTGCTGAAGCAGTACATTCTGGACAAGGAGACTGTGCTCTTCAGCACAGAGTTTTCCATCCTGCACAACTTCTTCAGTCCCCAAAGATGAGGCGCCAGGGGAGGTGGTGCAGAAGTTGACACAGATGTTGGGGAGAAACATGAAGCTGTTTGACGTGGTGCTGCAGTTCCTGCATATGCTCTTCCTGTGGACCATAAATGTGCACAATGCACTCTGTGTGCTGAGCTACTCATGTCCCTGCATGATCTAGACTCCTGCCACAAGTTCACCTGGTGTCTAGATGCCTGCATCAGAGAGCAGTTTGTGGATAGTAAGAGAGCCTGAGAGCTTCAGGGATTTCTTGATGGAGTAAAGAAAAAGCAGGAGCATGCCTTAGGAGATTTGTTCACAATCCTATGTGACCCCTTTGCCATCAACACTCTGTCACTGAGCACCATCCGAAACCCGCAGGCACTGATAAGCCAGGAGACATTGCCCAGGGACATCCCTGACCTTCTTCTGCTGTTCAGGCTGCTAGCGCTGGCCCGGGGAGCATGGGATTTGATCGACAGCCAGCCAGGTCTTCAAGGAGCTCAAGATGGAGGCAGAGCTCGTCATCATTCAGGTCCTGCCGATGCTCATGTCCTTTGTGGTTGACCACTACACTTTCAATACGGACCAGAAGCTTCCAGCCAAGGAGAAAGCCCCAGTGACGTACCCCAACACACTTCCTGAAAGTTTCACCAAGTTTCTGCAGGAGCAGTGCATGGCCTGTGAGGTGGGGTTGTATTACGTCCCACATATCACCAAGCAGAGGAACAAGAATGCCTTCCTGCACCTGCTGCCTGGGCTCATGGAGACCTTTGGAGACCTGGCCTTCAGCGTCATCTTCCTCCACCTACTCACAGGGAGCCTTGCACTGCTAGCCAACAGGTTTGCTCTGGAGGATTTCTGCAGTAGCCTCTTTGATGGCTTTTTCCTCACTCCCTCTCCCAGAAGGAGAATGTGCAGTGACATATGTTGTGGGTCCCCCTCCCCTTGCATCTCAGGGTGGCTCCATCCAAGCTGGAGGCCTTGCAGAAAGCTCTGGAGCCCATGGGCCAGAGTGGGGAGACTGTGAAGGAACTTTACTCCCATCTTGGTGAGAAGCTAGAGAAGCTGAATGTCAGAAGGCCAGCCCTGCCCAGGATGCAGAGACAGCAGCACTGGGGCTTCCCCTCCTTGGCATGCCCACCACGGCTATACTCTGAGGCTTTGTGGGGGCTGCTCAGCAGTGCAGCCCCTCTTGGGAGGAGGCCCTGCCTGGGAATGCAGAGTGAACTGAGGGTGGTCTTGTGGCAAGGACCACCTCTTGTGTATCCTAGCCCGCTGGAGCTGATCCTGGGAGGTTCTTTGATGCATGTGGCACTTGCTTGCCTGCCCCTGGGGCCCTGGCAGCTTGGGAGCAGTGCCTCTGTTTGTGCTTTTATAGTGGAAAGCTTGTTGGTGCCTACCTTTCTGCCTTTTAGGTTTTCACAGCCCTAGCACAAAAGGGCAGTAGTTAGGATGAGGAATAAAGCCAGTCTTCTAAAGTGATAGAAGGAGCAGAATGGGCAAGGCCAGAGGGGACCTGATGTCCAGTGTGGGCAAGGCCGGAGGGGAGGGAGTGGTGGCCGTGTTGGCCAAAGCAGGTTTGCCAGGCCACCTTGTCTGCAGCACTGGAGCTCCTCCCTCCATGGAGGCCAGGAGGATGGTGTGCAGGAGCAGATGCCTGAGCCTGCTGGTGCCAGGGCTCAGTCCCTGCTGGTGGAGGCCCTCAGGTAGAGTCTCTCCCTGCTAGCTCCTTGCCTGTTTGCCCCCGTGGCAGAGAGCTCCTTGTCTAACTGCACAGCTTGACCTTTGTGGGGGACAGCAGGTACACATAGTATAGTTTTCTCTTATGTAAATAAAAGACTTCTTATAAAAAAATAGGAAAAAAACTCCAGAAGTTTATCAACATGAATACTTCATATTAAATACAAGATACTAGAAAATGAATAGTTATCAAAGAAGTGACTTTGAATTCTAGCTTGTAGAGCATTGTCAACAGACAGCAGTACATTTTTACAGAAATGGCAGGACAAAGGAAAAGAACTTCCAGTATTTAGGGTTGGTAATTTGTGGGAAGGCAAGTAAATGGCAGATATAGGCTAGGTAGTGAAGCTTGTCAGTGCATATTCCTCTGGTGGTTCCATCTCCAGGCAGATAGTGTTGGAGATTGTCTTTAGTGGCCAACCTTTGTGTGCCTGGTAAGGGTGGGGAATGGGATACCTTTGTTATTATAAATCTGTGTCCTTTTAAGTAAACAGAAGGAAAACAGGGATCTTTCATGATCTACTTGTTCTTAAATGCCTTCAGCTCAACAACCCTTCATTCTTTGGGGTGACAGATTATGGTCTCCCACATCTCTAAGGGATTGTGTTTTAAAATGCAAATATTATTGTAGAAGAAAAACATGATCTTCTCTATTAACAACCTACTTTAACTATGGTTATCTAGTTTGCTAGTACACATTGTCTATAGATAACTAATAAGAAGATTCTTTGGAGTGAGAAAAAAATGAATACATATTACCAAAGGGGGTTCAGGAGAAAGGAGATCTAGGTTCATATCATAGTATGGGGGTATATGGAAATCCAGGCAAGCCAGATCCCAGGGTATAAGAGGAAAAGTAAATTTTACTAGACATATATATATATATATATATATATATACATCTTTTGTAGTAAGCAAGAAGGAAATGAAAGGTTTACAGATATCATAAGTTTGTAAGAATGGATCCCCAATTCAGTGCTTACACAGAACAGTTCAAATATTATTTCCCTGAGCTCTGCTATTACTATATTGTGAGTTTGGAATTAACTGTTATGCAAAAACTAGCATACAGTCTTGTCCATAGGAGAGCTGAGTAAATAGTTATGTAGTTCTGATTCTGGGAAAATATATTCCTTTCAGCCACTTCTGTTTTTCATTTTCACTATTATATTTTAGATGAGGTCATCAGAGCTGCCAGGCTGTGTTGTTTCTTGAATTATACGTACTTACAGGGTTCTAAGGAAGCATCCAAGGAGTGTTAATTATTGCATTATTTGGACTTAAAAAAGATGGGAGAAGTAGAGAGGCCATGGACATATCTTGTCTACAAGTGTTAAAATGTGAGGACACGTGGGAGTTTAGAGTATGAGTGTGAAGGCAGGCAGTGTTCCTACATAACCCTGTTTAGCTACTTGGACAGACATAATTGGAATATAAAATAGCCATGTTTGGACAGAGCACAATTCCATTCCCAAATGTACTGACATCCATTAACTATACCCTCATGCAAATTAGGTAGATGTATGGCTTAAAAACCAATTGCTCTCAGAATAAAAGATATTTTCCCCAAGCCCATTTTAAACAAAATGAATGACAAACATACTCATAAAGAGAGATGACTGACATTACATAGTGCATGAAATTTCCCTTTTTAAAATCATGACATTTTATAACATAAAGGGATAGTAATTATATTATGTACTTCCCAAACTTAAAAATTAAAAAAAAAAACTACCCCTGGGAAAACAAAAATAATATGCCCTACGATGAATGCAATTATGCAGAATTAGATTAGAGAATCCACAAAGGATAAGCCACAGGGCTGATTATCTTGAATTTAATTTGCTCCTTTTGATATCTCCTAACCAACTCCCCCCCCACACACACATTGTAGGGATTCCACAGAGATGTGCTTGCAACAGCTTCATTTTTCAATTGGTCTATTTAATTTTTTTGTGTCTGTCATAATAAGATATAACTATTCAGGACAATTATCAGTCTCCTAGCAGTCTTGTTGCTTCTAGTAAGAAAGCAGCACCATGGTATTTGACATCTAAGTCTTCTCCCTTTGGGGAAGATCTACAGCAAATATTTTAATATGGGGTACCTGAAATTACATTTTATACATACTGAGATTTGTTGAGGATGGCCTCAAATCTGGTGGATGGAAGAAAAATCTGTGTACCTTCTCAGCCTCGGGAAATATCAGAATTTCAAATAAAGTGCCAAAAAGCTAGAAGAATCAACAGGTGTTGTTTGTTTACACAAAAGTCAGGAATTATTACAAGTGAGGGGAGTTGTACATTTAAAACTTTTTAATCCTAAATGAATCCCATTGTCTCTTCCTCTGTGTGGGTTTACTCTGTCCTCTGCTCCATGGCATCAGATGTTATCCCCTTTCTATTTTTCTCAAGATCCTATTCAAGATATCATAAACAGTCTGTTGCCTTTACCACATAGTAGGGAAAATCAAGAGAGTCTCTCAAATTCCAGAGTCTACTCTTTAAAATACAACTTCCTAAGTTGTCAAGAGTTTGAATTTCTCCAAAGTTCAAGTGGTTTTTTCCCTTTCCCTCTTTTTCTATATCATTCGTCTTTGGATCTTTATTTATACAATTAAGCTTTGAAACAGACCTTGGCTGTTCACCACAAGGCACTGAATTCTGCCAACAACCTTAGTGAGAAAGGAAGCAAGAAGCAAGACAATAAGTCTCCCTAGAGAAAGCCATGAAGCCAGCTGACACCTTGATTTTAGCCATACGTGATCCATACTGGACTTTTCACCTACAGAATTGTAAAGAGATATTGTGCCTTATTTTATTATCTAAATAGTACAGCATGTTGCTATGTGATTCTACCATGCAATGATCATATTAATCATGCTGAGAGAGCAAATACTCAGCTGATTAGGAAGCATGAAATGAGGACTTAATTACCTAGTTAATTCCTCACATGCCAAAAACGGGTTGACATTATATAAGTTACAGAGTAGGTGGAGGAGGATAGATTCTGTTTTCCCATGCTTCACTGTACTACCATCATGGAACTTAAGTCAAAGTTTTCTTAACTGGGTTTCCCTTTCTGTCTCATGGTCTCCATTTCATAGGAAAGTGCTTTAAAGTTTGCAAAGTAAGGATAATGCCAGGTACAAGAGAAGCCCATGGCTGTGTGTAGCAAGGTGTGGGGAACACTAGGGGAGAGACTAGAGTGAGCTGTGATGTCTGAGCTGGGCTGACCAAAGATATCAATCACTCTTGGGTAGTGGCGCCTTTCCTAAAGATCCATTCCTGGGCTTTACTTGGGAGAAGGCCATGATCAGGTGTGAGTTTAGTAAGACTATTCTGGAGGATGTAGCGAGACTGGAAGCTACCACTAGAGTCTAACTGCCAAGACTGGGAATAAAGGAGCAAGAAGAACAACAGTAATTGTATATTATATTTTACCTCCTCAGATCCTCACAATGATATCTAAAGCTCAGAAAGGCACTATGACTTCCTCTCTTTTTTTCATGAAGTAAAAGAGTTCAAATGCTAACAGCAGTCCTTTGGAAACAAATTAATGCCTGTTTTCCCTTCATTCATGAGACTGGACTATATGCTTCCCTTATGAACTCATTTACAAAAAAGGGTCAATAATTGTCTACAAGAAGTCAGGACAGGGGACAAGCTTGAGTTCTGTTTATTACTACAAGGAAGACACTTTAGGAACTGATAGTAGCAAAGCTCTCTTACTGTTTTAATTAAAATTATAAAAATGAAAGTAAAGGATTAAATTTTATAAGTAATAAGAAAAAGAAATGTCTACTTTACTTTTTGGAAATGATGAAATGATTTTCCATTTGTTGCAAATTTAGACTCTGCTATGTTAAACACCACTCACCACTGACATAATGAAATGACATCATTATCCCATTTTAGCAGAGGAAAACAGATGCAAGAGTATTTATCAGAAGTCCAAATTCAGAACAAAGGACATAGTTTAAATCTAGGAATTTTTATCTCCAGAGTCTTTAACCTCCATGTCTTGGTGTCTAGAGTCTGGTAAGAGGTAGGTAATGAGAACATGAAAGAAGATAAATATAAAAGTAACTTTTTTTAATGGTATGAAAGGAGCTCTTAAATTTCCACCATAATTTGAGTTTATCTATGTCTATGGGTATACTCAATGGAGTATATAAATCTAGGAAAACATGTATTTTTTTGGAAAAAGATTTCATAACTTTCATCAAATTGTGAAAGAAGTATATGACTCTGAACATGCAAATGCCATTTCCTCAAAAGAAGATTCATCTGTGTGGTTCTGCTGTCCAGATACATGACAGTATCCTTGAGTAATACAATGACCTGTGGGTCAGGATCTGCCCTATGTCTAGGCAGAAGTAAGGTTTCCCAAAACAATGCTCCTATAGGGCTTGGGT